AGCAGGCCGTCGAAAGAGCTGCCACACCGGCGCAGCTCCCTCGGTCGCACTGCCACTAACCAGCCCTGATCCACCATTGTAGTTCCTCCTCTTGTAGTGTGCTGTTTGTCAAGAGGGCAAAGCGCCTTGCAGGAGAGCCGGCCGCCCGTGTGCCTTCCTTAACGAACCCGTTACTCTCCGTCTCCTCGGTCGATTAACAACTCTTGCAATCGGAATCGTACAACAGCTTTTGCTCCGGTCCTCGTAGCTTCGTCGCACTGGTCGGTCGCGCCGCCAGACTCTTGATTCCGCTCCCCCAGAACCGGGCAGGGCCGGGGGTGCCCTGTCTCTTCTTCAGAACGTCGAAAGAGTCGGGTGGTTTTCGTACCCAGTATCCCCCTAATCTTGCAAACTTGTTGCAGCTTGTTGTTGTCGTTGGTGTCGGTTGTCGCGATTGTCGGGCGGGGCGGTGAGGGATTTTCGGGCGCTCGAAAATCTCACTTTTGATCCTCGAAATCGACGTCCTCGGCCGCCAACAGGCCGCGCAACGGCTGCGCGGAGCTGCAACCCCTTGGAATCGAGAAAACAGGTCGCAAAGGTACTGCATCTCGATTTTTGCGATGCCCGGCCGCCCGCGCGGGCGGCCCCCGGTGTTTGTTCACCGGGAAGGGATGGCCTATATATAGTCCCAATTTGAACCCAATTGAGCACATCTGGGCTGCTCTTAAGCGGAAGCTAAGGAAGTTGTTCCCTAATCTCTGGGAGTTGAAGAAGAACACGCGGAATCCTGGTGTGTTGAACCTAATCTCCAATGAAAGTTAAAAAGGACGGGGAAGACCGTCGACGACGCCGCACTGCGCAAGCTCGGCTGCGAGGAGCGTTTCATCGGCACTGAAGCCGAACCTTGAAGTTGGTCCAGAGAGGCTTTCCGGTTCTCGACACAAAGGAAACGATGGGCTCACACTAGACGGGGGATTCTGAAGCGGGCCTTGATCAACCGGCCCACTGAGCTGAAAGGAAGATGTAGGCCATTATATACAGATGTAGACGATGAACTCAGCCTTGGACATTGTCCCCGAGCCGTTCTAATGGCCTCTAGCCCGATGGCATCCTGAACTTGGGGCGTTTCAACATCTTCAATAGCGAGTGCTGTTGTTGTTGTTGTCGCCCGAAGGCTCCGAGTTCCTCTGGGTCGATGTCATTACAGTTGAGATTACCGGACAGGAGCCAGGATGACGGTATGTGGCAAGACAAACCGAGCACCGGCTTGAAAATACCAAAGAGGATGATCCTGTGTTGGAAGAGCGTGTTGGATCACAACGAGTTCTCAAGTTGATCATTAGATCGAGGAGCGACAAGCAAGGTCGCAAGAAGCGGCCCGGTGCAGGCAATGAGGTTCGAGAAGAGAGCTGTTGCAATTGGAACTTGGACACAAGCCATCCTTTTATCGTTACTTGACTCTTTGCACCGCCAGGGCCTGGCCACGAACATCCACTGGGCATCGCACCCCGACCCTGTCTGCGACTGTCTTCGTCGGCTCCTGGAAATCCATGCCACCTGGGGATCAAGACTCGGAGTGGTGTAATTGCGTTCTGGTCCAATACTGGGTTTGCGGGATAAGCCAAACTTTGCGATTGATTGGCGATTACATGTCAAAATGCCCTGCCAAGGCGGCCGGCATGGGACTGCATCAGCCTACATGGGGAGCAGGGTTGGGCGAGGGCAGAAAGTAGCGTACAGTCAGGGACACAGAGTTCCCTGGGTAGGCGACGAAATCAGGTTGACGAGAATGGGGTGACGAGAATGGGGTGACGAGAATGGGGTGACGAGAATGGGGTGACGAGAATGGGTGACGAGAATGGGTGACGAGAATGGGTGATGAGATTGGGGTGATGAGAAGTGGAGACAAGATCTCGAGACGGAGAGACGAGACGGAGAAACGATAATAGGCAACAATACGGATAACTATACAATACAATACAATACAATACAAATTGTTGACGCTCGGCGGATAACTCAAAAGGGCAACTATACAATATGACTCTACATATCCCAAGGTATGTCCTGATCTTCGAAGCCTGTCCCGCGTCCCATAAGCTCGACGAAGTACTGTGTACTGGAGGTAGGTGACCCCAACGGAGCTACAGAATCGAGTAGGCTCGTCATATCCTTCCATGTATCCGCACCTTGTACCTGTCGCACCTCGCACCTACATTCCATCCGCAATCATAGTTATGAATAGAAATTTGACTTTACCGAACCTCACCTGGGCGCCGCATACTTTCAAGAGCTACTTGCGAGTAAGGGTTGAGATTCGTCACATTTCACCTAGCCGCTTCATATCCAGTCCTACTGTATGGTAATGGAATGCTGCCCTGCGGTTCCCACCACAGCTCCAGCTTCGCGTACCAGAGGTGGCCTGAAGGATGTGCACGTACCTCCCCTGTTCAAGGCGCGGCATGCCCTGTCGATCCCATGATTAAGACTTGAGTAGACAAGATGGTTACCGACGCCGCCCTTGCCGCGCCGGTGGCTGCGCCAGTTGCTACCGTGGCAGTGGTTACCGCGATACTGCTTGCTGCGGCCCCGAGTACTGCTATAGTAGCTCCAACCACAGCTCCACTCACAGCGGACTGGATTGTCGCGATGCCGGCCGTGCCGCTCACGAGATTCGCGGCGAAGAGGCAGGCGAGGACGGGGTGCCATTGTCGCCCTCGGCTCGACCTACGCCACCGCCTGGGGTAACTTCAAAACAATCCGCTGGGGCCCGGTCATGGTGCCCGTGCAGGCGCTCGAGGCCGCGAGTCTCGTCTTTGTGAGCTACCGTTGGGGTGCATGGCGGCGCGAGATCGGAACGAACACACTCAAATCCGGCCACGTTGCGTTCCGCACCATTCTCCGCATTGTTAAGGGGCCGCGCTCCTCGCCGTGGCCATCGCGATAGCGGCCGAGGTTCTGGTCGCCATCGCCCTCTCGCTCCGGGGTGCGAGGTCTCTTGCGCGGTATCTGAGCGATTCGGAGGACGTTGCCGAGGTCACGGCGTACATGTGGCGGACCATCGATTGGTGCTATATATGTTCATTTGCTTTCCACTCTCCAGATTCATTCAAATGAAGGTGTGTACAATAGAAGATGAGTTGAGTACAGTGTTGCCGATCGACAGACTGCAGCCTAGAGCAGGACTGTTGATTAACGTTACCTGGTAACTTGATTTGTACAACCGCACACGACCCGTTCGCAACACCCTTCCCGTGCTACGTTGACGTCAGGTACTGAGATAATGGAGTACTCGATTTTACTCGATCGCGATGTCGACCGTCTCGTAACGCTGGTCTGAGAACGCCTCGCCCTGCATGACGCCCAGGAGGAAGCTGTCGCCGACCAGTGTATAAACTCCCTCCTTCTCTGTGCTCGCCCGCAAAAGATACGGCACCTCAGCGCCGACGATACAAACAAAGACATCGCCCTCTCTCGCCTCGTTCCGCACCTGACCAAGCCGGCCTTGCGAAGTCCGACAGAAGCGCCGGCTATCGGCGCTAGAGATGAGCGAGTGCTCGATCATGGCGCCGTACGTCAACAACATCATCCTGACCCCCTCGGACATCTCAAAGCCATCCGTGAAGTAGTCAAAGAGGTGGGCCACATAGACCTGCGCCGCTTGAAGCACCTCGTCTGGTACGGGATCCCGCAGCGTTATCATGCCACAGAGAAGAGTCTCCAAGAAGTTCAAGGACCCCCTTCTCAACTCGGCCTCTTCGTAGGTCTCCTCAATAGGCGTCCGCTCCGGCTCTCCTTTGCTTTTTGTCCATTTCCAGTGTTCTTCACCAGCTACCTCAATACAACGTCCTATCCAGTCCCTCACGTACATCTTCATGCGAGGTTGAAAGCCGCTCTTGGGAGCGACTTCTTCCTCGGTCGGGAACGGTACTTCGTTCAGAGGCCTGACTAGTTTCGCAACCCGGTCGACGATCCGTCCCCTGACATGGAGCACGCGGCCGTCTGCGGATACGGTGACGCTGGGCTTTTGATCTCCCCCAGCGTGGAACACCTGCGGGTGAATAGTATAGGAGACGAGAGGGTTCACTAGGCCCTGGCTCGTCAAGTCGGGAACCCACGAGGGAAGCGCAAGGCGTTCCTGCTTCTGGCCTGCGAGAGGGTAGTGGGTGTGCGGGGCGAGAGACAGGAGCTTCAGGTTCTGGCAGGAGACTAGTGCTGTAACGGCGAATCTCATGCATACCTCCTCGATAGATAGGGAATAGTCCGCTTCGAGACCGCCGGTATCCTGGGGCAGACTGAGCAGCGAGTACAGATGGTCTCTCTGATCTGTGCACTGGAAGACTGGCGTCGCGGTAACGCAGTCGACCAGGGTCAGTTTACGGTATACCGTTGCCAAGTACGTCATGTAGACGGCGCTCAGCATTAAGGTAGGTCTGAAATTGTCGGCGACAAACGCGAGCATATACGGGGCGTGGAGGTTAACTGGCTCGCCGTCGACGTTAATGTCTCAATCGTCACGGTGTGGCGTTGACAGTACAGCTTACTTGTTGATTGTCCAGAAAGAAGCGTTATGATGCCGTAGCTCCCCATCCTGTAGGCCACACTGGCCAATTGCTTCCACGAAAGCACGATATCTCCGCATATAATAGTTCTGGGCACATTGTCGTCTGCGAGAGCCACCTCCTGTATAATCCATCTCCTGCTAAACCAGGGCCTCATAACAAGACTGGTTGATGGGGCGCCAGTCGTGATCGATGAAGTTGGGCTTCTTCTCGCGCCGTAGTCGCTGCGTCTTGTAAGCCGGCTTCGCTCCTTTGTAGGCTCATTTGAAGGTGATACAAACCTCAGCTTCAGGGAGGATTTTGCGCGAAATTTGGTATATCTTCTCGAACTCGAAATGCTCGGGCGGGAGGAGTTCCAGTGCCCCCTTTATGCATTCATCGAGTCCGTCAAGCCCCGAGGTGTCGTCGCCCAGCCAGATGAGAACGGCACTTGGCTGGGAGTAGATACGGCTCATGAGCCGGACCTGCCTGTTCTTTTCCGGAATGTCGCGCTGATTGATGCAGGTGGCATCGACCCAAAGAACTCGGACAGCATCACGCCTTCGAAGGCGTCTGAGGGCCGTGTAGAGACTGCTGGTTACAAGGAGGAGCTCATCCTCGCAGTAGACCTCGCAATTCTCACCAGCGTCACCCCAGCAGTAAGATATGGCCTCGTATGAAGGCTTATCGCTTAGTCTGACTGGGTGAAGCGTGAACCGGATGTCGTCGTCGCCTGATCCCGGCTCCAGGTGCAAGAGCCGGGTTTCGTCGTCATGCGAAAGGGGTTTGTATCGGTACAGAGGTGCCATGATGATGCACGAGAACCAGAGGACTGTGATGGAGAATGCAGTTCATGGTGGGAGGAGCGCTGCAGGACCGAAATAGCCGGATGGGACATGGCCTTTGGGCCTCTTCGAGGGGCTGAGCCAAAGGCCGCCAAACCTAAAATGGCCATGTTGCATCAATAGATCCGACGCAACGGCATGTTCTTGCCAATGTTGCGGATCTTTCAAGTCGCAGAAGTCTCAGCTCGCCAAGAGCACCAGCTCGGGCAAAGTATTCCGTGTGAAGAAATAAGCAACCCGTTGTTGTGGACTGAAAGATAACGGAGCCTCAACCCAACCTGTTAGCCCCGCCTGAATTCTTTGAAATTCAAAACCAACACCCTTGAAAGCTGTGCATTGCTCCTTGCGAATCGATCTCTAACCAGATTTAGGGCTGCCGAACGGCACCGGCACCTGGAACGTAGCACTCCCACGAAATTTGTGCCGAAGAAGCCATCACTCCAGCCATGTAGCAACCAGCAAGCGAATTTATTGCCCAAGAGCAGACCGAGAGGCAGGACCCCGCCCCCACCATGCCTGGGCCTGCCGAGATGTGCCGACGACACCGTCCAAGCGGATTCATTCCCTGGTCATCGACGCGAACGCAATCCTCAAGAATGATCCCACAGTTTCTACGTGGCTTGTCCAAGCCGAAGAGTTGTATACCATTCCTGCTGTTACCAAATACGCTAGCGGTTCCCTACGGCACCCCGCTGACCACGCGCAGTTCGCGATGAGACGGCAAGGTCACAGTTCCACAACACTTCGTCTCCGTTCCTGAACCTCCGGAACCCGCCCCCCCAGTCCACTCAATACGTTACAAATTTGCGAAGAAAACGGGCGATCTCCAGGTTCTCTCAGAACCCAATATCCATCTTCTCGCCCTAACATACGATTTGGGAGGCAAGAGGATGGTAGTGACGTACGGCAATGCATCCGCGTCTGACTTCTCCTTCTCCTTCGTTTTCCCGATCACCTCGGTTTCAAGCTGTGTACGCTATTGTCAGCGCTACGACGCTTAAGGCCAGTAGGGCTAACGCACCGGCCAGAGCGCGTGGCCTGGTGGAGTCATGCAGGATGCGGCGGGAGCGACGGGAGCTAGTTGTCGGTCGGCGCGTCTATCCGCCTTTGACAGCCGGAGGAAACACGCACGCCACTGTGCGCACGCTGTTGGCTATACTCGCAGGCTGTAACTCCAGGCGACCTCATGGCCGCTTCCACCACGATCTTCAGCCAGGAGTCGACAAACGATCCGTGGAAGCTCGAGGCCGGGCTGCTTCACGGTATTCGAGATCGTTGGGTCTGCGCTGATGCTCCTGGCGACGGACACGTACTTCGTGATCCACGTTCTAGGAGCAGGCTGTGAAAAAGTTTGGGAGCACAGTGATGAACGGTGGGATTGCATTCAGGATTTCTTCAGGGAGTCCCTCTGACTGTGTCGTGGCAACCGTTCTCGCCGTTGTCCTGATGACGAAACGGCACTTTTCGGCGTTCCAACGACAATTCCACATAATGGTGTTCTAGCCTACGTGATTCGCTTTGGCTGGTGAGGCTCTGCATCCGTTATCGGCTGTCTCTGTTTGTATTCTATGCACTCGTCGTTGTGTAACTACGTATTCTTCAGACCGTACGCCTCAATTTGGAGAGGCTGCTAACTGCCTTGTCGCACTGATCGACCAGGATTCCCCTTTTGTCGCAGCATACGGGGTGGGTCAGCTCAGTTCGCCGTCTCACCGGTTCGGCGAAAGGCTGGCACGGTCCCAAATTGGAGTGACATTCTTTCAGTTCGCTTTCGCCAACGGATGTTTGCGCTGTACTGTGGTAAGATGCCGCTGGGGAGCGCGACTTCGAAGGGCACGGACGTCAAGTGGAGTGGGACGAGACTGCCCCTGGCCGGGATCGTCGCAACACGGGGTGTGCCACAACAAGACCATGACCACGTCGCGTAGCGCAGAAAACAGGTGCACTCTTACTTATGAAGGAACGAGGAATCGCGTATATCGCTGGAACCCATGGAGCTCAGAAAACCACTGGATTTCGTAGCTTCGGGTCCCGACACAACAAGCAGCTAACTGTGCCGCTGCAAACATAAAGATACCGGCTCAGCGCAAGGAACCCGGCAAGGAAACGCAGAAACCGGAACTCCCCAATCGACGAACCCACACACGCTACCTATAACTTCCATCCTTCGACTTCTTATACCACTCCCGAGACCCATCCTCATTCAAATGATACCAATCGCCATGAGTCTTACTCCACGCCAATATTCGTCTGCAGCCACAGTGGGCTGCTCTTCAGTTGATGCGGTGTGGCGACTAATTTGGTGCTTTGCCGAGTCATGCCGCTCTGAACGTTGGGAAATCATCGAGGAATTCTGTGAAGGTCTGGGACGATTGGAACGGGCCTCGTGATCATGGGTGTTGACGATTGACGTGAAGCTCGAAGTGAAGCTTATGACGAAGCCTGTCGCAGGCTCTGCCGATGAGTCAAACGACACAAGTGGCTGGCTTTGGCCCAGGTAGAGGTGATCGGGAGGAGTGGGTCCCTCATCTCCGTCTTGAGATGCAGTCTCATTAGCAGTGTCGACGACGCTCTGCTGCCAACCAAGGTAACCAGAAGGTCTTCCATAGACATCTTGTGTTTCTGTCTCACCCTGTTGCCATGTGGCCCATTTGCTCTGCGGCTCAGTCCTAGTCTGCTGCTAGATCTGCTGCTATGTTTGCGTGATGACGAGGATCTTGGCATCTCTCCGCTGATGGTTGCAGAACCATCGAACGGTGGTTGGCGAGACTTCGCTGCTTCAGAAGTTCGCCTCCTGCTCTCTTCCAAAAGGCAATCCAGTGAATTCCGAATCTCTTTCAGTCGTCTGTCATTTCCCCGGTTGATGATGTTGCGGACGTACTTGCGAAACTCCAGATGATCCTTAGGCTTTTGAAGCAAGAAACAATCGACACTCGCCGTGTAGTAGTCCAGCTCGTTATGCTTCCATGAAATATGGAGACGGGCCGCTGTGCATCTGATGGCAATGGAAAGGCGACGCTGTTGATCTGCTGAATCTTGTCGCTTTCGCACTTCCTCAGTTCTGGCGCGAAGGCGATGAGGTTGGAAAAATAGTGCAAACGGGGAGCGACATGGACACATACACGCACATCGTCTACCTCAACCTGATCCAAAAACCGTGGCGGCGTGGCGCGAAGCCGACCAGCGCGTCCGCGACCTTACCTCGGTCCAGCACCTGCGCCCCTGGGAGGAAGCCGAGAAGAGGGAGCTACGACGCCTCTGTTCTGAAAACGGCATTCTCTTACGTCTGTGTCTGGCGTAACAAAGGCACTTGACAGGATTGCGGTCTTGCTTCCTTGACTTTCAGGTCCACACTGGGAAACACAACCCTGCCTGCGCCCAGCATCATCTCGATGACATTTCTCAACCCTTGCGGCGGCCAAGGAACGTTGCAGTCGGCAGTGATCTTGGATGCCGACAGGACGCTTACCGCGGTAGACACGGGTGAACTGTTCTGGGCAGCCGTGGCCAAGCAGATGGAGTTCGCCGAGGATGAGCCTTGTTCAACAGCCCACTGGCGTACTCATACACCGCCTTCCGTCAGGCGATGCTTCTGTACGAAGGGAGACGAGTCAAGACAAGTTCAGCACCATACGCGACGAGGTTGCGTCGTCGGCGAGGTTGCATCCAGAAATGCTCTCCTCCCTCGAATCTATAAGCCAACACCGTCATGTTAAGGCAATAGTTTTAAGCAGTGGGTTGCGCCGCCTTTGGGGAACTGTACTGGCGAGAGCTGGCCTGTCGGAGACCGTCAGGGTGATCGACGGCAGCCATATCTCGGATGGTTAAGTCGTGAGGGCCGCGGTCAAAGCTGCTCTGGCATCACAAATGCGTGATGTCCATGGCCTGTATGTCTGGGCCATTGGAGACAGCCCCCTGATGCAGCAAAACGCATTAAGCCATTGTTGTCGTTGGACAGGAGCACTGTCGGAGCAAGACCATGGACACAAAAGTGCTGGATGTAATTGAGAACGGCGGACTGCGGGCTCGCCAGGTCTTGCTGCCGACCGACGCGACGCCGCGGCTTCGACACCACTACACTTCTCCTCGTCCAGTTCACAGGTGGCAGCTTTCTGGACGCCGTTGTTCGCCGACAGGGCAAACGTGATTGCATCTCCTATGCCACGGCCTGGAACGCAGCGAATCTGCTTATGATACAAACGCTGGACTCGAGGTTGTGGGCCCCAGCCTCAGGAAAGCACACAAGCGTGTTGGATGGTCTCCGGTCACCGAGTTCCAGGCGAACGATGATGTACTGTGGTAATTAGACCCGAACCGTTCAACATGCCGCACTTCCAAGGTCACAACACAATTGGCCATCGCACCCGGCATCAGAACAGGACGATAATTGTGGCACTGATGCGAGGTGGAGAGCCCATGGCCGAGGGAATAAACCAAGTGCTGCCGAGCGCCATGTTCCTCCACGTCAATAATCCGGACGACCTGGCGATCCAGCACATGAGGGGCAGTGGACAGTGGTGTTGGTGGACTCGGTCGTGGACAGTGGGAAGCCGATGGCGGAATTCGTGGAGCGGATCCGCGAGCTCAACCCGACGGTACCCATTGTGGTGGTCGTCGGCGTTGTGCAGGAACAGTCGCTCTCCCCTGCTGGGGTCCTCGGACGGGCTCTCCAGAGCGACAGGGCCCTCAGCTTGGTTGCCCTGCACCTCTCTCCAGAAAAGAAAAAAGAAAAAGTGTCAGGGGCGAGGAGGGACAGATACAGGAAATCGTTTGTTCAACACAACGCGGCTTGACTGATCGAGAGCTTGATGTCAAGGTTGAGGAGCTTTTTGTCATGATAGCTTGGTCCTTTCTAGGCTGGGTTCAGATGTTTGACGCGAAACTGGCTGGCAAGGGCCATGACTTCCAGCGCTGCCTGGCCTCATCTCAAGGCATGTCGCATCATGTACGGATGTAACGTTAGTCTTCTGAGAGCGACGAACAATTGTCCTTCAACCAGCCTATTGCCTGCCAGTATTGAAGTAACGCCAGGCGACATCTGCGCCGACTGTGGACAATTAGCAGGAATACATTATTGTTAGAGCACGCCCAGAGGTCTCTTCATGTCCTGTTCGTCATCTGCCGCGAGGACTGAAGCCTCGGTTTGCGCCGTTTCAGTTTTCAACCTGGCGTGCAGTCCCTTGACCGTGCCCTCCTCCTCCCAGAACACCGACCCCGTGTCGTCTAGTTACGCTGAACAAGGCCGGAAAGGGAATGCATCCAGGTGTAGATCACGGAAAAGATTAGGGTGCCTATACTCCTCTGCATCTCCCGTCACAGACGTCAGTGGCTGAGTGTCATCAAGAGCCACCATTCCATTCGCGGCTGAATGTGAAGCCTTTCGTACACGTGTATGAATACACGTAGATTGTGAATATCGGTGCCTGTTTCCGAATGCGACTTCGCGTCCGCCAATCACTGTTTTGTCCCAACGGACCGGAAGGATGACGTTTGCGCGTCCGGGGATTGTTCCGCATTGATGTGACGTCATACGTTATGTTGACGCGGAGCAAATCGTCCTGACTTGGCAATGCCGTTTATTGGACTGCCGGTTCTCTAACTCTGGTGAATTCAAGCTTTCCGTCAATCTCGCTAATTAGATCTACATTTCATGCTAGAGACGGCTTTAAAGTCTAAAACACGATGGTCCGATGCAACCTCTAGCAGCAACCTCGTTTCGCGCGAGCTGAGTGCGTGGCCGCAACCATGACCGAGAAATTTCCATCCGTAGAGGGCACGAACCAGCAAGGTGCCGCCGATAATGACTGCGCATACTTCGGGCCCCTCGATTCAGAACACGCAGGAGCGGAGCCATCCGCGCCGGCCCTGGAAACTGGACCCCCATGTACGCCGACAACGGAGCAGCCACCGGCACGCCCGCATCCCTACGCCGCCCAAGATATTCGTCCGACTCCCATCGACCGTTCGCAATCGGCCATTCGGCTTCGCAGGCTGAGGGTCCCGAATCTTCCATCAAGACTGGTCCCCGTCCAGATCATCGAGCAAGAATCACCGGATGGGCGCCGTCGGTCAAGCTCGGAACCCAACCGACCCCAGTTTCCCCCTGGGACAGCATGGACAGCGTTACCGCCTTTGGCCGAAGCTTCATCAAACCGTGAATCGAGCCTCGGGGCTGTGCCAGTGCCGGCCGTAGCCGCACTTCCGCCAGGATCGCACCCACAAGAACAAGGCCATCGCTTCGGTAGGCGGCGTGGCCGGACCATTCAAGGGCAACCGTTGCGCCAGGCACAGGACAAGGACTGTTACGACTCAAGAATCGTCGACTTTCTAGACGTCGTTGGTACGTTTGCTCCGCTGCGCCTACTCCTCTCTAAATCCCACCATAAGCTGACGAAACGACTTGTCACCAGATCCCGAAGTGGCGACCCTCTCCTCTATCACCAACATTCAAAACTCCCTTTTCGTGCCGTCCCTCGGCAGATGGGTCAATCGCAGGCCGACATACGACCTCTCCCAGTTACCACCAATACCCGGCGCGTTTCCTCCTTCGAGGGAGGATCTGCCAGGCACAGAAAGAGAAGGATTAGAGCATTCGCCAGCGCCGGCCCGTTCCCCAAGCCTATCTTCGGTTCTGAGCGAACCCCAGTACGCCATTCTCCCCAATGACGCCTCGCTGGAAGGCTGGTCCGAGGAAGACATCAAAGCCCTGAACGACTATGTCCGCCATATGCTGCACTCCCGCCGGTCCAAGATCAAACAGCGCCTCAAGGCATTCGGCAAATACGCCAGACGGCCGCTCGGCTTCCTTATCACCCTCTATGCTACTCTGATTACACTCTTTGGCCTTGCCTGGGTACTGTTCCTGATCGGGTGGATCTACGTGGGAGACAGGCAGCTCTACGCCATCACTGTTATTGATTATACCCTGGTTGCCCTGTTCGGCGTGGTCGGTGATGGGTTAGCCCCGTTTCGCGCCATTGACACATACCATATGGTGTTTGTAGCTCATTATCGTAAGCTTCCCCCCATTAGTCCCCATCTCCCACCCGATGCTGACTCTCGGCGACTTTGTGAAGACCGAAAGACGTGGAAAGAGCGCAAAAAGCTTTTGCTGCCAAAGCTGCGGGATCACAACGACCTGCCGACCGGCGATGGCGACGGCGACGGCAGCCCAAATCAGGACCTCGAAGCCAACAAACAACAACAAAAGGACCAGTTCTTCCCTGTACTCTCCGAGAAAGAACAAGCCCGGTTGGTACACCACCAGACCAAGCTCGCTAAATCACATACTTTCTACAAGCCGCACGAAACTGAGACTCATCACGCCTTTCCTCTTCGTTTGCTCATCGCCATCGTGCTCCTCCTTGACCTCCACAGCCTCCTCCAGATCGCCCTTGGAACGTGCACATATGGACACATAGGGGGTACCGCAACGACAACGGCCCTCCTATGTTGTTCCATCGCGACAAACATCACGGCCGGCATTCTCATCTCGATCGGAGATCGGCGGACGCGCAAGAAGGATGTCCTCGAACGGCTTCTGAAACAGGACCTCACGAGCGAGGTCATGAAGAAAATGCGCAAAAAGAAGCAGAAAGAGGCACAGAAGGAACAGGCCACTGGCACCAGGGAAAGCAAGGACGACGGAAACAAGATGGGCACGACGTCGTTGACGGCCGGCCTACACCCTATACGGGAATTACTGAGTCACAAGAGCGACGAGGGCCATGATGAAAAGGCGCAGACAGAGGCACCACAGAAACAAGAATCTGAGCCTGAGGGTCGGGACTTGCGTGATGTGAGCGACCCTCATATGCGGATTCCAGGGGCGTTCCCGTAGAGGCAAGATGTGTTATAACTCATGAATCCATGATGGACGTGGGGAGTTTGGTGTAACAAGGCTGTACTTAATAAACTTATATTTCTTAGCGCTAGATTTAACGACTATCCTAAATACCACGAACGTAAAAAAGGAATTAGCTGTATTTCTGTTCAGGCGTGCCGGACTTATCTCACCTGCCGTTCTTTGACTTTGCCCCTGAGTTGCTGGCAAGGTAGGGAGGCAATATTAGTGTAGCCTGCGAGGCTCGGCTTTGTACTTGATCTAGGTAGCTGTAAAAGTACGTTTGGTTTATCTCGAAGTTGAATACCGTTGACAACTAGAACGTCCGCTTCCTTCGCTGCATTGGGCCCGATTCGGATGGCTCCCGTTGTCTCTTGGCAGTTGGTGACAGTTCGTCAGCAACCCCGCTGCTCTGTTCATGTTAACCCCTCAATCCTCCGTAGCCGCCCAATTCCAATCTCCAAGCCGACTGGAATCTCGGCGCGTACAAGTACCGCGATGGCTGATTCCACGTCGTCGGGGCTCTCATCACGCCTAGCGAGACTTAACCCATTCAAAAGCAAGGCAAAACGCGAAGAGGATGATGAGGACATCGGTCAGGAAATTGACGCTAATACCCTGGCCGGCGGTGGCCACAGCGCGTTCCAAACCGACATCACGCTGCACCGCTTGCGTGTCAGCGAGGCACTCAAAAGCTTCCTTTCCCACGAAGGGGTGTCGAGCGAGGGCGACACCGAAGGCCTGAGCGCCCTTCTCGATAAGCCCATGGTCTCGCCGCCGGCCCATCTCATTGACCGATCGCACCCCTTGCCAGAGTACTTTGTTTCATCTTCGCATAATACCTACCTGATGGCCCATCAACTCTACGGTACGTCGTCTGCTGCCGCGTATGAGACCACCCTTAGGGCCGGGGCACGGTGCATCGAGATCGACGCCTGGTAAGTTTCCTGCACCTATCCCTCCTTCAAGGGCACGCGGGAGATCAGGCTGCATGGGGAATTTGGAGACTACTGCTGTTTGTTGACACCTGCGAAAGGGATAATCCGGATGATCCAAGGGAACCGAAAGTCACCCATGGGTACACCTTGGTCTCAAACATCCCCTTTCGAGCGGTCTGTGAGACAGTACGCGATGTGGTTGATCTCGAGGCCGCGGCCCCTCCTGTCCAGGGCTATGCGCCAGCGCCAATCCTTGTGTCACTGGAGAACCACTGCAACAGGGACGGGCAGATACGTCTGATCCAAATCATGAAGGAGGTATGGGGCGACCGCTTGCTCAGCGAGCCGGTCCGCAAGAAGGGGCACGAAGAACAAGAGGGTGGAGAGCCGGTCACGCTCAATGATCTTGGCTCCAAAATTGCCGTCATTGTCGAGTACCATCTCCCAGAGGAGGCAGATGATTCAAGCGACTCGTCCGACTCCAGCTCCTCCAGTGACTCGGACGAGGAGAAGCAGGCACGCAAGGAGTACAAGGCAAAGAAGAGAGCCACCTCGCCGCCCATCATCGTCCCGGAATTGGCCCAACTTGGTGTCTATGCGCAATCGGTCAAGCCGCGCGATACGTCTTGGTTTACAGAGGGGAAGATTAAAGATGGACCTCCTCGGCATCACCTGGTCAACGTCTCTGAGTCCGGCTTGGCTCCGCACATTACGGAGCATGCGGTCAAGATAGCGCAACATAACGCCCGTCATTTGATGAGAGTGTTTCCAAAGGGCACCCGAATTTCCTCGCAGAATCTTTCGCCCATACAATTCTGGGCTGTTGGCGCCCAGATCTGCGCCCTCAACTGGCAAACCTTTGGCGCGAGCATGCAGCTCAACGACGCCCTCTTTGCCGGCACGGCGGGATATGTCCTCAAGCCGGCTGCCCTTCGCTCAGGCGGCAGCGGCGCCTCTTCGGCGCACGCTCGCCGCAGAAGCTTGCGACTCCGCGTCGCCGGAGCTACTGACATTCCCCTCCCCGAGGGCCGCGATGTTGACGATGTCAAGCCATACCTGACTTGCACGCTTCTCCAGCCCGGAACCGGGACTGACCCGATCAAGGTCAAGCGGAAGACGGCACCATACCACAAGAGGACGGCCTTGGCGCTGCCCTTTCTTGGCCTCGGCCGCGGTGAGCGCGAGAACCCTGAACAGACGGAGCCGGTGTGGGACGAGACGCTAGAGTGGGACTTTCTCGATGATGAGCTGGTGTTTGTGAGGATGCTCCTCAAAAGCGACGACAGCTTCGCCAACAACCCCATCCTGGCTGTCTCGGCTGTCCGGCTGCTTTATGTTCAGCCAGGCTGGCGGTTCGTCCGCATGCTGGATCTCAGGGGTCACGAGACTCAATGCTCGCTCTTGGTCAAGTTTGATATTCAGGATGTCTAGGCAGAATACTGAGCGATCGTTGCTGCAATATAGCGTCCATGGTTGATGGACAACACGAAGCCTCCTGACTGCATTTTCCACCCTTCATTGATGCTTTTGGGGGCCCATATCTTATACTTGCTCCTATAACTGAACCTCAACCCCGCCACCGTCGTACTGTGATTCACTTGCTTCCAAGCAGGCCGAGTCAAATGCGAGGTCGGACCCCTCCAGCATCAGGACTTCTTGTTCAACCCCACCTCGATAACCAAGATTTCCCAAGAACAAAATGGTAAACAAATACCCTTCGGCCCATATGATACGTCCCTCTTTGTGGAGTGACTGTAGCCCCGGTCGACCTCGTCAACTCCTGTGCTGCCGACACTGGACCATTCAAGACCTCGATCCTTATGTTATGTCTTGTTCCCCCCCATTCGCTCAGCCTGAGATGCATGCTGATCACTAAGTCAATTATCATGTAAACCTGTCCCCATCTCAAAACTCTCACCATAGAGGAACTCTTGTGTTACACGTCTATATACCCTGGCGTTGGCTGGAAAAAATTCACTTCGACTTCAGCAGCTATAACTCCCATTCTATGCTCGCGATTCCGGGTCAAGTGCCAGGCAAAGGCGCCGCCGTCCAAAGATAAAATAAAATAATGAAGAGGAAATAGTTAAAGCCGTTCGCGGAGGCAAGGTGAGTGTCACGGGATAGTCCCGTGACAGGGTTAGGGCTACGTTATGTAGGGAGATGGTCTGTGCGTAGCTCTGCCCTGCAGGGTTTCCCGTAGCTGCGCACAGCCCACAGTTCTGGTTCCTTGCGCAACTATTGCAGTTCAACACCATACCCAAGACTGCCTATCAATCCCGTGATAGTGAGCATCCACTTCTCCGTAACTGAAGGTCACTTCGCACTCCATACAGGGTGACCCAGTGACAAATAAGGGGCCAGTATAGACTTGACTGGAGGTACCCTCGACGATATTTTGAGTCGTAGGAATGGTTTAGGTGTGTCGGTCACTTCGGGAAAGCGGATGCTGTCCTCGTTGGTTGCTCGATACAACCACATACGTTCTCCTTGCTCGCCAGTGGCCGGACCCGGCAACGTGCTTGCCGACCTCAAGTGAGAATGGCCAAGTAAAACGTTTTCCGCCTCTTAGAAACGCCCCGAGGAAGAGGTACAAGCCGAGAATGATGGTTGCAGCTGCCACAGCGACTCCGATGATATGGCCGACCGAGAAGGACTGGGAGCTGGGACGTAAGCCGTGATCTCATCGCAACCTCTGCAGAAGCCATGGAGGTTATGCGAATAGGCTGTACACAATATCCATGAACGATACAGTGGCCGGATAGTCGGAATACTTGAGCCTTCTCAATCTGTGGAGACTCCAGACACAGAATCGAAAGCTGTCGGCTCACTTCGCGGTGCCAATACTCAATTATTGTCGGGCACGGAGTCGGAAATGTTCATTGTGGGTTATGTTAAGTCCTTCAGACACATGCCGTGCTTCTCGGCGTCAGAAACTTGATAGTATTGCTGAGTGAATGGTAGCAGCACTGAAGAAACGCCACGCACCTCAGGCGTAGTAGGTCCTAAAATGGCCATTTCGCGAGATGGAAACACGGAGCAGTCGCTCAACCGGCCGCACCAGAATACTGCGACACAGTTGCAGTCATCATTGGCAAATTCGCCGATGTTGAAGCTGTCGGGGAGGAGGGCATGACCACGAGGCCGAATAGTTGCACTGGACCAATGACACTGGCTTGCCACGGTGCTGCCAAAGTCTCCTTTGCCACCAACTGCATAGATAGCGCCCTACCCTGGGAGTCGAGTATCATGGAGCCTAGGATAGCATCCGCTAACGAGAGCGCCCCCCGACCCAACTGCATAGCAGGGCAATGATCAAGAAGATGTGCGTGAGTGCCAGGCCAGCACCAATTTCCTTAGTTCCCCTCGTTGAGCAATGGAATGTCCCGAGAAGGGCGATGAGAAGGAGGACAGCCTCCTGCACCCAGATGGCACTCCGGATACCGTCCCCGCCAATGTCAGCATCAACCTCGGCGCCGCGGGGCTCCACCTTGGTGATCCGATGTGTTCAGAAATTTGGCCGGTGAAGATGATTGGAACCAGAACTGCTCCCGGTAGTCCGACAGTCACTGGCGCGACAAAGTGTCGTAGGCGCTTAAGCCATTTTTGGCGCTTTATCTCTGCGGATATATGAATAATCGTTGTGTCCGAACTCGGCGATCTGAAGATCAAGCATAGGTTTATTGCGAAAACGATAACGAGAAATGATAGAACGCTGGGGCAATTGCCAACCTCGAGTTCGTCTGGGGAATTATTGCCCCTTTCCACTCCGCTTGACTTGTGTGAGCAAGTCGGCTTTGAAGTAACAGGTTAAGGCCGAGAGCACCGAGACAATGCGTATCCCAAAAACCTTTCGATACGCTGTGAAACGGGAAGACTGAATGGAGTCGCAAGAGGCAGTAGATCTGTGATAAGATAGACAGATCATGAGGAGGCAGCCCTGTGGAACGGGCAGAAGCTGACAAAATTGGGGCGGGGTGGGCACCGAGGAGGCCGTGTCACCAAACCTCTGATGGATATTCTAAATGACTGCCCAATCACTGGGCATACTTCGTCCGAGTGAATTTCCCTGGCTAACCGTCGACAGAGCCGTGGCGTGACTGACCATTTCCCTATTGGCTCCTCCCCTTGGTCGAGCGCATACGGAAGAGATACCCTCTTCATGGGTCAGCCGAACAACCGATGACACGCTCAGCATTGGCCATGACGCAGCGAATCAATCCGTTTGGGTGCCGTGTATAAGCCATCACTCAGCTACCCACTCACTCCGAAAAGAGCTCTAGTGGTTTAGGCCATATATACATAAGCACTTGGGTCGGGCTTTTGATAACGCAGGGAGGGCCAACCAGGCAACGCGTCCAGTCCAGAGGTTGAGACGTAGGGTTCCTGCCAAGCCTTGTAATTCTTTCCTTTGGCCACCAAATTTGAATTGCTGTCATATCTGCTGAGGCTGTGTTTCATCCCATATGTGTTCAACGCCTATCCTTCCCGTCCAGCGAGACACCGAAGGATTGCGTCTATGTCTCTTGCATGACCCCCACGTTGCTGATTGTAAGTTCTCCACTCCACTCTAGGACGAGATTAGACGCTCGGAATTGCTGTTTGGACGAGATCTTATGTGAACAGCAGAAAGATATAAGTGACAAGGACTGGTTGGAATCATGATTTGAGTCCTTTGGGGTTCGGACTCGGCTCGGGACGGGAAGTGGGTCTCTGTTCCTACGTGCACATACCCGGAACGGCCAAACCCTGGCTGTCTGTTTAACCTGGTAGTTATGGTTCAAGACTTTGGCATCGGCAGATACAAATGCAATGAGAGATTCTGGGTCAGATGGTGTTTTGGCTGTAAGAATCCTTTGCAGGAAACTTTACTCTCTTTGTCGTCCTGACCATGCCCGCACCTTACTTTGGAAGCTGCCTTTGCGGCGGCATCCAGCTTACCGTTGCCTCGGAGCCCACTGCCGTCCTTTCGTGCTTCTGCGAGCACTGCAGCAAGGGAGCGGGCGGCACAAACCAGATTGTATAGCTGCTGTCATGGTCAACCAATGCTTGTGCTCGTGGCGCTAATACGCAGCAAACACCACAGGTCGCCAAGTTTGCACAAGCTGATGTCAACATCACGTCGGGCACCCAACTCATTACCACTTACACCTCTACCGATACATGCAGCGGGGCTCCCAAAGCCAAGGCCTTCTGTCAAATGTGCGGGGCCCCGCTGTGGACGGTTCCGGCATCTGCACGCGGCACCCACCTGCTGATCCGCCCGAGCCTGCTTTCCGAGTGGTAGGTTCTTTGCCATTTCCTTAACCAATACGCGTCGTTCTGCTGGAGTTAACTTTTGACACCCCCAACAGGCAGCACTTGAAGCCGCGAGCTGAGATTTTTGTTGGCCATCGACCTCCGTGGGTCACCCCGGTGGAAGGGACGGAGCAGTGGCATGGTGCGCGAGGAAACTGAGATCCGTTCAGGGAGTCAGGTATTCCGGATTCAATTGTGATCCGAACTCGGTATGTGGGGCCAGCTCGGAAAGGCGACCGAGGCCAAGAAAAAGAATGGAGAAAAATGTTCAATAGTCCCGTCAACGAGAAAACCAGTCATCATCACAGGATTCGAAATTACCCCAGGTTATCCACTGCCTTGGATCCCGCATGCCGGCGTTGACCACGGGGTCTGGGGCCCCAGAGTGCCGAGAGCTGTGACGAGTCAAGCCCATCTGGAGAAGGTGTTTTTTTCTTTCTCGTCCGGCCTCCAACTTGTCATCGGAGACCTATGGTAGCCTCCTGTTGGGTTCCTCGCTGGGCACTGATTTTGTTATGCGCCTATAAAGACTTCCCTTCGTTTCGGCCCACCTCTGCCTCGTGGTATCCTCGTCCTAAACCAGGAGCTCGCTCGACTCAACCACTCTCACAACGATTCATCCTCCAAGATGGGCCGGAACAACAAGGCCGGCAAGACCGGGGCGGAGCTAGCGGTCGGCGCCGAACTCGCAGCGGTAAGAGCCTTGTCGATGTTGCGCATATGGTACATTCACGACTGGATCAGAGGGCTGACAGTGTTTCCAGGTTCTTCCGGCGAATACAAAGCCGTGGTACCGCACCCGGCACCTTCTCTTGCTTAACCTGGCGCTTCTGGTGCCCCTGCTCTCGGCAGCAACAATTGGCTTCGATGGTAAGCTCCCCTGCAACAAGGACGCCCGAGCTGCTGTTGACTGCTAGTCGTCTACCTACCTCAGGCTCCATGATGAACGGACTCCAGACGCTGAGTCAATGGCGGGACTACTTTGGCCAGCCTTCCGGCGCCGTCCTCGGAGCCATGAACGCCATCTTTCCCGTGGGCAAGCTTCTCGCCGTCGTGCCGGTGGCCTGGCTCACCGACCGCTACGGCCGCAAGCCACCCATCTGGATCGGGCTCGTGGGGCTGGTGGCAGCGACAGCAGTCCAAGCCTCGAGCCAGACAGTGGGCCAGTTCATTGCCGCCCGATTCTTCCTGGGCTTCTTCACTGCATTTGTGGGCCAGCCGTCGCCTATCCTGATCGCTGAGTTATCATACCCAACGCACCGCGCAAAGATGACGGCTTTGTACCAGACCTTCTTCGTGCGTTCTTTGTCCACCGAAGTTGAAGGGAGAAGGGGATGGCTGACTTGAAATCAAAGTACTGTGGCTCCGTCCTCGCCGCCTGGTCGACATACGGCAGCTTCCGCATCCCTTCAACCTGGAGCTGGCGAATCCCTTCGCTCCTCCAGGGCGCCATCCCGGTGCTTCAGCTACTCGGCATCTTCTTCGTTCCCGAGTCTCCTCGGTGGCTGTTAGCCAACGGCAAGGCCGCGGAAGCCCGAAAGATCCTCACCAAGTGGCACGCCGCCGGCAACGACGATGCATCCGCGCTTGTCGAGTACGAGATGGACCAAATTTCGACAACGGTCGAGCAAGAGCGGGAAGCGCGCGCCACCACGTCGTACCTCGACCTCGTCCGCACGCGGCCCAACCAGCACCGCACGCTGATCGCCTTCATCGTCGGCTTCTTCGCGCAGTGGAACGGCGCGTCGGTCGTGTCGTACTACCTGACGCTCGTGCTCAACAGCATCGGCATCACCAAGACGTCTGACCAGGCCCTGATTAACGGCCTGCTGCAGGTGTGGAACTGGCTGGCCGCCGTGCTGGCCGGTGCGCTCATGGTCGACCGCCTGGGCCGTCGCACGCTGTTCCTGGCTTCGGTGGCCGGCATGTTTGTCAGTTATGTCGTCTGGACGGTGCTGACGGCAAGGTTCGTAGCGACGCTGGACCAGGCCATGGGCAACGCCGTCGTGGCTTTCATCTTCATCTACTACTTCTTCTACGACATCGCCTGGTCGCCCCTGCTCATTGCCTATCCGGTCGAGATCTTCGAGTACGGCCTCCGTGCCCGCGGCGTAGCCGTCACATACGGCTCCACCTTTGCCGGTCTCATCATCGGGCAATTTGTCAATCCCATAGCCATGGGCAAGATTGGCTGGCGCTACTACATTGTGTTTGACTCGATCCTGGCCATGCTCTTTGTGGTCATTTGGTTCCTCTTCCCAGAGACCAAGGGTCGCTCGCTGGAAGAGATTGCCGAGGTCTTTGACGGCAAGAGTCGAAGGGTCGCCGATGTGGAGGCAGAGCGAAAAAAGGAACATGACAGCGTTTCTGTGCAGGTCGAGCATCCAAAGGCAGAGGCAGAGAAGCTATAAATATCTCTGCCATTTGTACGCAGACATAGCCAGATGCCATCCATCTTACGCAGCACTGTGATGGGTTGCGAGTTGATAGAAGGCGGATCACCTACTTGATGACTGTCAATATAAATTCGTTATTACGTTGGTTCGTCGTTTCTCCGTGCATCCAGATGGCAGACGTGACAGGTTAGGATTCCGACTGCGAACTCAGTCCGCCCATATAAGGGCCCCATGTGCCTGCCAATTTCGCTATCGCTGATGACAGGAGCAGAGCAGGGCATGCAATGCTGCATGTCTCCTGCACATATCGACATTCAGTTTGCTTTCCAAACCTTGATAGCAGCTTTAAACTGCTCGCAGTCGAGCAGTGATACTTCTCATCTTATCCGTGTAGATGGTCAAAGATGGTCTCCAATCTCAGACACAAATGTCGAAATCGAGCGTCATTTATGACAGGCAACCTGAATGTATAACGAAATGTACTGGGGAACTATAACATCCTACTCCAGATCCGGTCTTATCAAGCCAAGCAGCCCCAAAAACGGACGGTCGTTCACGGCCACCAAATAAGCCGGCTCCGTTGCCGAGGCATTAACGTGCTGGATGCGGGACCACGCAGGCACGGCAAAGGTATCTCTGTCCTTCCACTCCAGCACGACCCGTTCCCCGTTGGGGGGCTCGACAATCGTTTTCCCAGCGCCTTCGAAGCAGTGGTAGAGGAACGAACTCGGGTGCTGGGTGGACTCGGTTGTACAGCCCGCTTCCAGACGCTCTGCCTGTATCCCAATGGTGGTAGAGAGGGGCTTCCCGTCCGGTGTCCGATAGTGATGTGTCGCGTGGGAGACGCAAGTTGCATCGAGGACCGCTTTCACAGGCTTCCAGGGGTATCGCCATTGAGGGGGGTCTGCGGGTCTGGTTGTTCAGAAAATCAGTAAACGATCCAGTTCAGGTCTGTTCCATCTGTACCAAGGTGTATGTAGTTTAAAACTGAGATCTAAAGGCGTAGAAACCTACTCGCTTGGGTACCGGCTCTCCGTATAGCCCTCGGCAAAGTTCACGCGGGCATAGCGGAACAGCGGCAAATTCAAGGCATCGAGCCAAATGACGGGCGCATCGCCCTCGTTGCCGTGGTCGTGCCAGTGCCAGGTGGGCGTGAGAATTACATCGCCGCGCTCAAGCGCCATCCTCTTGCCCTCAACAGCTGTGTAACCCGACCCGTCAATGATGAAACGTGCCGCAAACGCGATGTGCCGGTGGGCAGGCGCCACTTCACCAGGATTGACCAGTTGCAGCCCGCCATAGATGGTATCCGTCGTGCACGGCGCCGCTTTCGTGTGCGTGTAAGCTACCGCTGACTGGCTTGAACATCTCGACGGAACAGGCAGACTCACCCATGCTTGGGTTTACGAGCATCAAAACTCTTCTCTCAGCCGACTCGGCGGGCACGAGCTTCCCGGCCTGAAGGAGATGTGGAAGTGCATCGTCATACTTCCAGAGGTGCGCTTTGGCGATGGGGTTGGGTGTCGCGGGAACCATGGCATCCATCTTTAGCCACAGGGGCTCGAGGTGCTGCGAAGGGAGCCCCGAAAGGAGCTGGCCTAAGGCGTCTTGACAACCTTCCTGCGGGACGGATCCCATATTGAACCGCAAGGAACGGGCGAGAAGGTTGGGCAGTAGCACAGAGGCTGGACGTGCTTGGATGACACGAGACTGGATGAGCTAAAACGTTTCCGTGGCGATGCACTCAGGAACAGCAGATGTGTGCTCTATTCGTTGTTTATCCCCGTTGTCCCTCTGTGCCGGAGTTGAGTGCTTGACAGGAAACCTGTCATGCATCACGGTAAGCGTGAAAACGGGGAAGCTGCCTGCAGCGCTAGCAAGGGTAACGAGCTTTCAGAGTCTCGCCCTCAGTCACGTAATAGCCCGCTTCAGGTTCCGAGCGCAGCTCCCTGACGACGTCCCGACCTCCGAAACATGAAGTCACTCCGCTTGGGTTCCCAGCTTCGGGTCCTGAGACTCCGTTCCGAGGCGGGTCCGCCGTTCCGAAGAATTCGGAGTGCTGGTTCCGGGCCCGGAAGGCACATACAACCACTAGATGAGTATATACAACTGCCGATGCATGGAATTCATCACCTGATCGTGTTAGGATCGAACTGTCAGCAATCACGTCACCAATCATGTCTTGGACGCGCCTCATCAGATTCGTCGACGACGCCGGACGGGAAACCTTTGGGGAGCCCGAGGTTGACAGCGCGGAGCAAGTGGAGGAGCTGCTGGCGGAGGGAAATCTCTATGCCACCGAGTTCCAGGGACCAAACCCCCTTGCGTCCTTGACGAAAGGTTCAAGAGTCCATGTCAAGGTGCTGTTGGACCTTCTGAGGCCGTCGGACGTGCCGATTATTCGGTGCATTGGCCTAAATTACATCAAACACAGTAAGCTTTCCAAGTTCATTATCAAAACCAAGAGACGATCAGTAACCGCCTCCCAAACAGTCCAAGAAGGGGGCCGCACACCGCCGCCTTATCCGTCCGTCTTCATCAAGCCGTCCACCTCAGTAGCCGGCCACGCCGAGGACGTGCCGATTCCGCGGATCGCGCAGGACGGCACGCTGGACTACGAGGGCGAGCTGGCCATAGTCATCGGCAGGACGGGCAAGGACATCAGCAAGGCCGACGCGCTTTCGCACGTGGCAGGCTTCCTGGTGGCCAACGACGTCTCGGCGCGCGGCTGGCAGCGGGACCCCAAGAAGGCCGGCGGCGTGCCGCAGTGGTGCTTCAGCAAGGGCTTCGACAAGTTCGCGCCACTCAGCGCCGTGCTGGTGTCGCCGCGGGTGGTGGGTAACGCGAGTTCTCTGACGCTGCAAACGTTTGTCAACGGCGAGGAGCGCCAGAACACGAGCACCTCAGATCTCTTGTTTGGCGTCGAAGATATTGTGGCCTTTTGCAGCCAGGGGACGACGCTAGAGGCGGGCACGGTGATCCTGACGGGCACACCGTCGGGGGTGGCCATGGGCATGAAGGAGCCCAGATATCTGAACGACGGGGATATGGTGGAGGTGCGTATAAGCCAGCTTGGAGGGGCGAGGAACAAGATGGCCTTTGAATGAACAGAGAGTTGTATAGTACTTAAGGTGCGAATCTCAATTCGAGTTCTCCCATGCGGTTTGCCTGTCTTCCATCGTTCATGGCTGGTTGCCAGTGAGAAGTTCCCAAGCATGCATGTTCAGGTCGGAGAAGTCATTCGCACCGAATGTCAGATCTGGCAAGTCCAGATTGGGGAACAACGCAGCCATATCACCGAACTGCTGTAGAGAGTCGGCCGGGTCGAAGGAAAAGGCAGGGTTAGCAGGCTGAGACTCCCGCTCCTCCGAGGCTGGGCCTTCGCCCGAAGGTCTCGCATTTGCTTGTAGGTGGCTCTGCATGATTCGTCCCGATAGGATGTTCAAGACGGCGACGCACCGCCGAGCGGACTCGCCGAAGCGCTCGTGAGCTCGGAGCACCGAGACCGCCTCGTCCCATGAGCGTTGGAGGCCGTCTTCGCCAGCGAGCTCGGGCCGCAGCCGTGCGACGATGAGGATGGTGGCCGCTGAGTACACAAAGTAGAGACGGTACCACCACGCCGGTAGCAGCCCAACGGTACCGTCATGTGCCTCAAACCGCACAAGCACCGAGACGACTTCCTGCGCCGTGGCCACGCATAGAGACGCCGCCTGCTGCACCAAGCGCGAAGCCAAGCTGGCTGATGTCGATTTGGATTCCTTTGAGGGCGCCTGGTCCAAGCAGAACCGCGCCATGGTCGGTCGAAGAAGCAGGAGACGAGCCTGGAGAAAACGGAGGCGAAGAATCACGGCTTGCCGTCTGCATATGTCGTTTCCCACGTCTTGAATCGTGGCGAAGCAGAGATGGGAAGGCAACTCTTGCTCCCACGTCCCCAGAGCGCTGTCCAGCCTCAACATAGTTTCCAGGTCGTTTTCCCGGGCTCCCTGTGAGCCGGGTTCGGTCTCGCCCGGCAAGTAAAAGGCAACAATGCTCAAGTGGATAATCTCATACAGTCGGACGGACTGTACAAAGAAAGACACTCGTATCTGCTCCCCATCCATCCTTTCCCGTTCAGAATGAGCCGACATCGGGAGGGAGACAGCGGAGGCGTGTTGGTGTAGGATCATGGGTGGCCGTCCATGCGTCAACGAGACCATGCTATAGTACTGTAATTAGACCAGGTTTCAGAGTAACATGAAGAAAGCAAGACCTACCGATCCATTAGAACACAACCATGCCACAACCTGCGGACAAGTTCACGCTCGACAGGATCCGCCATGCCCGCTGAGGTGTCGGGCAGATGCAAGCCGAGGCTCTGAGCCGTCCGGACGGCAGTGCCGACGACCATCCAGGTTTGGTGCGCGTTGCTCGTGGTCTGCAGATACTGACTCATGAGCAAGAGGCACTGAACCAGCTCCAGCGACGCAGGCTCCCACAGACTGAGCCGCAGCAGGGCCTGGGCCCGCTGGAAATACACGCGGCTGCTCTTGTCCCGATGTTCCGGTCGCAGTGACTCGAGCAACTGCGTCGACAGCGCAAATATAATGTTGAGGGTCGAGACAAAAATGCGCTCGTCCGTGTCCAGGGGCGTGCCAGAAAACATGCTCGCGTAGTGTCGGTTCCATTTATCACGGTCAAGGAAGGGGTACAGGGTGTCGACATAAAGCCAGTACAAGTCCATAAGGTAATCCGCTTGCCTACGGCCGGGAAGGACATAATTTGGGTCATCGGCTATACTCCAACCCGCGCCGCCTCCAGATCGAGGTGGCGCAGCACCTGTAACACCGGTCGCGTTGTTCTGCGAGGATGAGGTTGAAGGAACGGGTGGGGTTGACTTGCCCAGCCTCGCGTCGATGGCGGCCTTGATCTGCTTTGTGAAGGACCCAGCACTGCTGCTGCCAAAATACTGCGCTGTGTTGGTTCCTTCCTCGACGACCGTCGTCATGGAGTCGATCTGGGACTCGCCCGAAACACTCGGCGCATGGCCTGAAGCTGGAGTCGGGGCGGTGAAGGCGGGGCCCGGGGCCGAGGCAGGGGCCGGAGCAGGATGTACCATTCGTATCCGGGCCGAAGCGTTATGATTAGCAGCAGCAACAATGCTACCCCGTTCCACAGGATCTCCAATGACGGGGTCCTGGTTAGCGCTGGTTTGCAGCGACAGCCCTGCTGCCGCGGGACTACGAGGAGTAGCAACATGAAGGCTATGCGGCTGCAGCGGATCCGAGTCGGATGTCCTTTCGATGGGGGCTGCGCTGTATGTACACCGGGGCCCCATATTAACCCTCTTGCGACAGTTTCCGCATGCTGTGTGCATCTGATTAGCATGAAGCTCCCGAGACTGCGACCCAACGGTGCGATGCCTCGTACTTGGTCTGACCCCGTCACAACGAACCTTCCTGGCCCTGCATATTTCGCACGCGACATCGATCTTGTGCCGTTTCGGGCGTGGAACCGCAATGTCCGATCCGCTCGTAGGTTCGGGCATGGCGGCCACTCGGAAAGTCCTTGACAGGGCTGTTGCGTTGACTGGATTGTGGGAACTAGGCGATTTGGATGTCGCTTGGAGAGGTCGGAGTGTTCCGAGAGTTGTGTTTATGCATCGTTCCGGGTACTGTAATCCATATTCCGAAGTTGAATTTTTCGTCGTTCCGAGAATCGCTGCGGCCCGGGGTACCTACCCCACGAAAATCTCCACAGTTACATAGTACATAGTTATTTCCGGAGCGGGCCTAAAAACACCCCTCGCTGAAAAGCCCCCCGTTCGAAAATGCGAAATCTAACAGCAAGTCGTCATGATTCCTGGATCTTTCAACTCGTTCGCTACAAGTACACAGCTGTCTGCGCTGTCCGAATTTCTGATACAAGCAGCACCCGCCCAGAAGGTCGCGCAACTGGTCTCGAGCAAGCCTCTCTCTGAGAATCGAAGACATACTTCAACATGGCGGCGCACACAATAGATAGAGATGCCATCCTCCAATCTCTCACGTTGGATGAGAAGGTAATTAGGTCTGATGTTTTGTCCCTGGACAAGCCATTCTATTAATGTTGGAATCTGGCGCTGACAGGAGCTGTTTCTCCACAGATTTCACTTCTGGCTGGCGCCAATTTCTGGGAAACGGTCGGGATCCCCGACAAGGGCGTCCCGTCCATCAAGGTACCTTAGGTATCCAATTTGAAGTTGAGGGGACAAAGCTAACGACAAAAGATGACGGACGGACCGAACGGCTGCCGGGGGGCGGACATTGACGGCAACACCAAGGCAGCCTGCTTTCCGGCAGCCAGCAGTGTCGCAGCAACCTTCGACCCGAATCTAGCGCGGCGGATCGGCGGTGCACTCGCCGACGAGGCTCGCACCAAGGGAGCGCGCGTGCTGCTGGGGCCCACGGTCTGCTGCCACCGGCACCCCCTAGGCGGCCGCAATTTTGAGAGCTTCAGCGAGGACCCGCACCTCTCGGGGACGCTGGCGACATCACTCATTCGCGGCCTGCAGGAAGACGGTGGCGTCGCCGCCTGCATCAAGCACTTTGTCGCCAACGAGCAGGAGACGGACCGTATGACGGTCGACGAGAGCGTCGGCGAGCGCGCCCTGCGCGAGATCTATCTGCGCCCCTTCGAGACGGCGGTCCGTGAGGCCCGGCCGTGGAGTCTCATGACGGCCTACAACCTGGTCAATGGCGTGCACTGCGATAGCCACGACTGGCTGCTGCGTGATGTCCTGCGCAGCGAGTGGGGATGGGACGGTGCCATCATCAGTGACTGGGGCGGTACCAACTCGGTGGCCGGCTCCATCAACGCGGGGCTCGACCTGGAGATGCCCGGTCCGGCCCGTGTGCGGACTCCCTCGGCCGTGCGGACGGCGCTGAAAGCCGGCGACGTGACCGAGGAGACTATCAATCAGCGCACAGCGGCCCTGCTGAAGTTGATCGAGCGAGTGGGCGGCTTCGACCAGGAGATTCCCTCTGGAGAGTTGACAAATATCGAAAGGGCCGAAGACCGGCCGGAGCATCGTGCGCTGATTCGGGAGGCCGGGGCACGCGGCATGGTTTTGCTCAAGAACGAGGCTCAAATACTACCCCTGACCAAAGAAAAGGTCAAGGGTAAGAAGATTGCCCTCGTCGGTCTCGCCAAGGACGCGCTGGCCCATGGCGGCGGCAGCGCAAGCGTCAACGCCCATTACAAGGTCACCCCATGGGACGGTCTCCTCGCAGCGCTCGGAGATAGCGCGGCCGAATTTGTCTACGCAAAGGGAGTACATCGACAGCGGTTGCTGTCACCGCTCACCATAAACAGCAAAGCTACAGTGGGAAGTGTCACTGGTCTAGACGGACATCCAGGGTTCACGCGCCTGTTGTACGAGCCGGGCAACCCGGATCCCGTTTCAACGCTGCACGGCTACGCCTCATCGGCCTATTCTCCTCTTGGGTCGCAAGAATCGCTCAACAAGATCGTCGAGCTGGTCGGCGACTTCACTCCCAACGAATCCGGGGCCCATTACATGGCGTGCTCGGGTATCGGCGCGACAACCGTCTTCGTCGATGATGCCATCGTCTTCCGGCAAGGGAGCAACTGCTTCGATCCCATGGGCGCGCTTTTTATGGCGGCGTCCGAGGACCTGTTCAGGCATGACTTTGTCAGCGGACGTGTCTATCGCATCCGCGTCCGGACAGAGCCACCGACCAACGTCGGGATGCGGATTCTGGAGGGCCGAAGCGGTGCACGCCTCGGGTTCAGGGCCGCGTCCGAGCACGACGCGGACCTGCTGGGAGAGGCCGAACGCGCTGCACGAGAAGCCGATATCGCCATCGTCTTTACCGGGCACGATCCGCAGTGGGAAAGCGAGGGCCGCGACCAGGACTCGTTCAACCTGCCAAACGGCCAAAATGAGCTGGTGGCCGTCGTGGCTCTCGCGAATCCAAACACCATCGTCGTGAATGCTACGGGCGTTGCGGTGGCTATGCCGTGGTTGGGTGATGTCTGTGCCGTTTTGCAGGCCTGGTTTGCCGGCCAGGAGTGTGGCAACGCTGTCGCTGACGTCTTGACCGGCGTCGTCAACCCGGAAGGCCACCTGCCCGTCAGCTTCCCGCGCCGGCTCGAAGACGCGCCCGCGCATGGGAACTTCCCCGGCGAGTCCATCGACGGCCAGCGCAAGGTGACCTATGCCGAGGGCGTGTTTGTTGGATACCGACACTACGACCGGCTACCACAGGAAGCTGTCCATTTCCCGTTTGGCCATGGTCTCTCCTACACGTTGTTCCAGCTTGGTAGCCTGCATGTCGAACCCAATCCCTCCAACGACGATGAGTTTGTCGTCACCGCCCAAGTCTCCAACACAGGAGCCCTCGCCGGCGGTGTCGCAGTTCAGGTTTATGTCGGCAACAGCATACAGTCCCTGGAACATCCGGTCAAGACACTGGTGGCTTATCAAAAAGCTCGTCTGCAGCCTGGCCAGGCACAAACCGTCCGGCTTCTCGTCAACTGCCGGGACATGGCTCACTTCGATGAGACGGCGCACGCCTGGGCCGTGAATGCGGGAACATACGAATTTTCTATGGGGCTTTCATCCGTTGACATCCGAGAGAAGACGTTGGTAAAGATAGAAATGCGCAAAACCTACTCTGTATAATACCAACCTGGAAGGCGTCAAGGTAGCGGTTGACGGCTTCCAGCGTAAGGAAGGCTCGCTGCGGGTGAAATGTCATAGCATCAATCCATAGCAGTGTAGTCGGGAAGCTCCTCCACGCACGGCAGGAATTCAAAGTTCCAGACCAGCATGGTCACGGCGATGCGCATGTCCAAGACCTCAATCGTAACCAGACATGTCCTCGATTTGCTGTAACGTACAAGCCACTGACTTAATCGCTAAGGGACGACATCGTCAGACATGAGGTTACTCCCCTTCTTCCTATTTTGCTTGGCCTGCTTCTTAGCCTCCTTTTCCTCGCGCCGTGCCGCCTTCTTCTCACGCTTCATTTCCTTCTTTTCCCTCCTCGACAGCCTATGGAACTCGCTTTCGGGTCCAACCAGATACCGCCCAGGATACCAGATGGCAAGGATAAGAAGAGCGACCATCATAGGGAATACATCTAGGGCGTAAATGTATTCCTCGTGGAACGGAATTGGGTTGTGTTCGGGGTCAACACCTTGAGCAAACTCGACAAGTCGGAAGATGATCCGAACCTTGCTCTCTATTTAGTAATTGGCCAAACAGGGGAAGTGAAAGACAGCCGATCAAGACTTACAGTGATGCAGAGCAGAACGCCATACTGCGAATACAGCAATGGCCGCCAGCTCCTCTTTCCATTGTGGCCATATGAAGACGCTTCTGCCCGAGTACAGCGCCGCCAGAATGCGTACATGAGGCCATAGAAAATAAGAATGAAGAATTGTTGGGCACCCATGCCACCGAGGTAGATGTTCAAGCCGATTTTGATGATCTCGGTGCCGGAATTTGGGTTCGCCATGATGCCGCCAACGCCCTGGATGATAAAGGTGAGGATGTCGGCTAGGACGAACCACTTTGCGATGGCCGTTGCCCGGAGACCGGCAATCTTGCCTTCGGGATGCCAGTAGAGGACCATGCGCGCGAACGTCATGTAGACAAAAGCGTTGATCCACAGCGGAGCGAGAAGGAAGAAGTCCATCCAGATAATAGCGTAGGCCATCTGCTGCTGGTCTTTCGCGCCGAGGGAGTGAAAAATGAAACCGATTGTCTCCCAAAGCGCGCCCATGATGAGGACCCATGCGTATCGCTGAGGCAAAGAAACAAAACAAAGACAGTTAGCACGGGATTCTAAGACAATCTCTACCAGTGGGAAAGGATGACGGTTTCGATGGACACGGAAGACGGGAGTGCGGCGCTGACCTTCTTAAAGGCAAAAGCTTCGGCAACGTGAACTGCAGTCAAGATGCCAAAGATGACGGCCACGGCCACGGCGGGGGCAAACTGAGGATCGTAGTTGTAGTACGAGTTGCAAGCACCGACAGGGACGTTGCCGTTGGGACCTGGCGTGACCCAGTCACACTTTCCGTCATCTTCCTCCCAATTTTCACCCCGATTCTCACGACGGACTAGGTGGCTGGCCGTCACAATGAGCTGTTTGTAGGGCAGCATGTTTTAGAGGGCACAATGATGATGTGGCTAGGGTCGGAATGGTGTGAGGCGAAGGCGAAGCAAGCGTGGGGGCCCCTCTGGAGCCAAAGGGGAGAAGTGAAGTCACCAAACTTGTCGCATCGTCTTAACGGGAGTTCAGAGAATCCGGCTATAAAGATGTCGAAATAATGATTGAGACGGTTCAAAGAATAACAGGAAGCTGGGGATGTGTGGTTGGAGTTGGAAACTCCACGGAAGCAAAGGAGAACACATCACGGGTTACCAGATTCAACTTAAATAAGTGTTGCTATTGCTGTGCCGTACATGGTGGTGGTTCAACGAGTCATCTACACTTGAACCGCAGCTGAGCTACGGTTGAGACGCGCGTCCATTCAGCTAAGGCCCTACGGGTCTCGCTTGCCTTCAGCCTGACGCTTCCTGGGGCGGTCGGAATCAACAGCATGCGGGATTCGCAGGAGCTGCTGTGATTGGAAGAGACCTGCTTGGCTAAGCGCACCTCATTGGACATTGTACCATAGGATGATGGCTCAGTCGCATTGGAATCCGATGCATACGTAACTACACCCCTTTGGGAGCGTTATTGCGTAATGTTTATCTTGAATGTCGGACCACACATGAAACTTAGCTTTGAAACGAACTGAGAGGCTCTCCGATATTCCTGATGCTCTTGAAGGAAATTTAGCGGAAAAGATACCTGAGACGAGTCCGTTCTTTATGATCAAGTTATCCGTAATCGAAAAGGCCCAGGACACAGCCTCATTATCGCCAAGCGTAGTGTAGCTTTCCATCTCAAGAACCCCGAACATTTCTTCGGGTCAGCATTCTATCCGTCGTGTCGTACAGGTAAAGGAAATCAAGCAGCTTGAGACCCAGTTTCAAGGGCAAGCGGGCAAGACATAAAGCTTCCTGCTCCCGGCTTTAGTCCAGTTCCGTTATTCCATCCATAAACATCCAGCAAGCACCATCACCCCAAAGTACAGGAAAATGCAGCTGAATATCCTCCTCATCGGCCTCGCCACCGCGGCAATGGCCCTGCCCTCCTCACGCCTGGCGGGCAGAAGCGAGATCCAAAGCAACCAGAACACAACGCAGGACGACGCCAAGCCGGACGCCTCGATCGGCACGGCCGGTACCGATAACCGTGACATGCGACGGGACAATGGCATGCCCGCTGTCGCCATCGACAAAGCCGACGACAGCCGTAATTGGCGAAGAGACAACCACGTTACGGCCGACTCGGTCCGCATCACCGGCACTGACGACGATGACAACGACACTACGGCGCCCTCCGTTCGCATCACCGGCACCGACAACCGTGATATGCGCCGGGACGCTTAGGCTCCTTCAACCATGACCGACACTTTCTGAACTCATGCAAGGCCGAGGAGAAGAAAGAGATGGTGTTGTTAAGTTGTACTGCTCAGGTATAACATCTGGAAGTCAGAGGATGGGAAAGTCTCCAATTCGGTTACAGAGCAAATTTTGACTAAGAAATCGGAACGGCTTTAAATGGCCGACTCTTCTGGACTCTCATCGAGATTGTTGAGGTTTAAGTTCGCCTGCGATCATGATGCATATTTCAGTCCTGGCCTCCGGTCACCTGACTCCCAGCTCCTGTTCCTTTTGCGTGGCACATCGACATCTCACTTGTACCTCACTTCGACACGGCTGCGATAAAGGCACAGTACAGACCACCTTGGGGGAGATGCTGTTCGTCATTTCGTCTCGGAGAGGACGCTCCGCCAATCCTTGGCCGCCGAGCTCATCGCCGTCGAGATCCGAATCTTTTACTCACCCGAAGCTCTGCTATTTATGCAAAACCCCAGATTCCCCCTTCATTGTCCGTCCGGCAGCCACAGATACGTATGAATTGGTGGGGAACTAACAGGCCAAAAGCCATCTGAGACCCACTGGTTTGATGGAGTCGGAATAGGGCTTCCGAAATAGCTGGGCGTGAGGGGATCTCGGCTGTCTGATGCCGAGGATTCTGTTGGAAAGCCAACAGCCACAGTTCCACAGTGACACACTTTATGGGAGCCGTTAAAACAGTGAACTTTTCGAGTGCTTAGGACCAGCCCAGAATCTGCCGATTGAGTTCTTTTCGTCTCCTCAAGTTATCTGGGTATCTCGCAGACCTTATGTAACAGTCGTGTATGGATGGATGGAATTTATTTCGCCCGGAGGCACGAAGCCTAAAGGGCCTTGGCACGCTAACTATATCCGATTCGTTGACGTTCGGTCATCAACTCGTACAAGCCCTCTACTCTCTCCCCTTTTCTCACGCCACCTGTTGCCTCTTGACTTAGTTTAGCAGATCGACTTGGAGGCTGCGTTCTCCAAGTGTTCAGCGTCCTATCTTCAGCAGCTAAAGCGGGATCTGCTGGCTGAGGCTGTGTAGTGTTAGTGGAGTTCC